CTCAACTTTGTTCTGAAATTTTGATTATAAGACCCGGAGCAGAAGAAGCAGATCTCCACACTATTAGGTCAACTAGATTTTGATACAATGTTACATAACAAAAACAAATAAACCTAAAAGTTTAAGCTGCTAAGTGAACACCAATAACAATTTTTTAAATAAATAATGCTATGGGAAACAACAATTCTAAATTTCTTGTACTTTGTTTTTTATATGCTGCCTCAAACTTTCCCCCTACCAACTGCTACCCTTTCCCCCCTAAAGGACAAGAAGAAAGGTAAGAGTTGATAATTGATAGGCACAGTTGATTTAGATTTTTTTTTTTTTTTATATTTATTCTGTAGTTATGGTCAAGGGTTGAATTTTTTGAACAGCGATCTTCTCAAGACAACCATAACTTACGTTTAGCTTCTCTAGGTCAGTTTCATTATGGCTCATGCTTAAAAATGTCACTTCTTGCGGTTGGTGTCTCATGGTTGAATTTAATAGTGGGAGATATGATTATATTGAATCTTGGGGTTCTTATTTCATTCAATCACAAATAATTCTTGAATGGAGTAATAATTTCTTATGTAATCCATCAATCCCTTTTTTTCAGGAAATAGTAACACTGGAGCTATTGCTGGAGGAGTTGCTGCTGGTGCTGCTCTGTTGTTTGCAGCCCCTGCAATTGCACTTGCTTATTGGCGAAGAAGGAAACCTCAGGATCATTTCTTTGATGTTCCTGGTTAGTTGAATAATAGAAAAGATGTCATACACACTGATAAATGCTGCCTATGATAGCTATGACTTATTTACTGACAATTTAGCTGTCCTTTACTGGCAGCTGAGGAGGATCCTGAAGTTCACCTTGGTCAGCTTAAAAGGTTTTCGCTGCGTGAGCTGCAAGTTGCCACAGATAACTTTAGTAACAAACACATTCTGGGTAGAGGTGGATTTGGAAAGGTTTATAAAGGACGCTTAGCTGACGGATCTCTTGTAGCAGTGAAAAGACTCAAAGAGGAACGTACGCAGGGCGGGGAACTCCAATTTCAAACTGAAGTGGAAATGATCAGCATGGCTGTGCATCGTAATTTGCTTCGGCTTCGTGGTTTTTGTATGACACCTACTGAACGATTGCTTGTGTATCCTTTCATGGCTAATGGAAGTGTAGCATCTTGTTTACGAGGTACCCCTATTAATGCCAAATTTGAATTGCTTTTATTCATAATTTACTTTCCTTTCTCATGCATAAAACTTTTCTCTAATGTCCTTTTCTTGTTCAAAAGTTATTGTGCTAATGTTCAATGCCAGAATGATTTCTGGTGTATTTGATTTATTATAGAATGAAAAGAATTATATATTTCAAAGATGTTACTAGCAGCAACTTAAACAATGTAACTAAGCAAATTTCTTAATTAATAGCTCAAAATTTCAAATGCAGATGAATGCTCTTTGTGATAAATTTCAACATGTTCAGTTTTATACTAAAACTGTTTCTATGTTTGTTGATTATGTTGTTGAAGAACGACAAGAATCCCAACCACCACTTGGCTGGCCAGAACGGAAGCGCATTGCACTGGGATCTGCGAGGGGGCTTGCTTATTTGCATGATCATTGTGACCCTAAAATTATTCATCGTGATGTCAAGGCAGCAAATATTTTGTTGGATGAGGAATTTGAAGCAGTTGTTGGAGATTTTGGTTTAGCAAAACTTATGGATTATAAAGATACTCATGTTACTACTGCTGTACGTGGAACAATTGGACACATAGCGCCAGAATACCTTTCAACTGGAAAGTCTTCAGAGAAGACTGATGTTTTTGGATATGGTGTAATGCTTCTTGAACTAATAACTGGACAAAGGGCTTTTGATCTAGCTCGACTTGCCAATGATGATGATGTGATGTTGCTTGATTGGGTAAGTATTATGTTTACTTTAAGTATTTAATTAGAACTTGAACAACTTCTGCTAACCCAACTATCTATTAATCAGTTCACATGGTTCCTTATGCTATAGAAATTATCTAGCTTACGATATCCCTTGCTCATTTGTTTTATTCATGCTTTCTGGAGCCCCTTCTTCAACACAGGAAACCTTGCCTTATACTAATTAAAGAATTCAATTAACTGTCTTATTTTATTTTTTCCCTGGTAAGTATTCCAAGGTTGGAGAAGAATTGCAGCACCTTGTTATTTCTTGGTTTCTTGATAATCTCATTTCAGTAGAATTCTTCTAATATCACAAATTCTTGAATATCTTTTTCCTGACTGTTCTTTAGGTCAGTGTTGCAAAATGTTATATGTAATATTAACACCAATTAGTGGCTAATCATTGATGGCAACTGACATTGTTCTGAGTCCAGGTTAAAGGACTTCTCAAAGACAGGAAATTGGAAACACTGGTGGATTCAGATTTACAGGGCAATTATATTGATGAGGAGGTAGAGCAGTTAATCCAAGTGGCCTTACTATGCACACAAGGCTCACCTATGGAAAGACCGAAGATGTCTGAGGTGGTCAGAATGCTAGAAGGGGATGGTTTGGCTGAGAAATGGGAGCAATGGCAGAAGGACGAGACATTCCGGCAAGACTTCAACAACAACATTCATCACCCTAATGCAAATTGGATAGTAGATTCAACTTCCCATATCCAACCGGATGAATTGTCAGGTCCTAGATGATCCCTTTAACATTCTATGGACAAGTGAATATACAATCCTGCCTGACAAGACTTTCTGTTGGAAAGGGATATACTTCTGATTTGTGCATATGATTTTCATCCCTTCTACCTCTTCTCTTGTTCCATCCTTTTGAAATTATCTTCTGTGCTCAGATTACATGCCCATTGATCATGTTGTGATTATTAAAGGAAGAAATTAGTAATTTCTATTGGGTTGTCAAGTTGCAGGATAAAGTGTATGTTACAAGCAACTTTTGTCATTGTATTTGTATGTATGAGAAATTAGAATAGAGCTTTATGGAAATAAATGAAATCCTATTATCAATTTCAGATAAGTATATTATTTCAGTAGTTTATTATGGGGCTTTGAAAATCAGTACTACTTGAGTCATTGAGTATGCAATTGGTTTTCCAATTTCTCTTTTGGAATCTGTTATTCGCCAATTACGTATGCAGATGATGTTGCTCTAAATACTAATCGCCTGTTGGTTTAGAGTTTGGTAAGGAAATCATGCTTAGTGTCAATGAATTAATCCATCCATCAAGTGGAACGCTGGAACCTACTTTGATAGCATGGTTTCCTAGATATCTTCATAGTTTACCATCCAAATAATATTGACTATGATAAAGGATTTATTGAAAAAATTTGTATAGACTTACACACATTTTGTGTTCTTAAAAAGAAATTTTAGCAAGGTATAACTTTAAAGTTTATCAAGCTAAAATATTTCTTCTAAAAAAATGTTGTATGACACTAATAAACTTACTACCTTGTTAGAAGCATATTTTTTGTTTTTAGTTTCTTACACGAGTTGTGAATACATTATACCTAATAATGGTAAGTTGTAGTGGTATAAACTGACTTAAGGAGTTTAAATCTTATAATTATGACTTCCATAACACTTCATTCACTCACTACTCTCAACTTGAATATTTTTTTTTTAGGTTATCATGTTATTAGGATGAAGTATTTATTAACTTTATTAATAACTAATTTTTGTGGGATTATCGGGTTGACTACATTTAGTAAATCTCCCATTCCAATCATGTTTTCTACTGAAGGGTTGATTTTGAAAGAGGATTTTCAATTTTTAGAGAATAAAAAATATTTAAAATTTGAATTGTTTTGATGTAAATTTTCTATATTGTTAGCTTTATTTGGACCATTTCAATTTTTCATGTTGGATATAGTAATTTAATTTCTATTATATAGATTTTTTTTATTTTACTTTACCTCTCATCCTTATAAATCATCCAAATATTTAGGTATTTATATTATTTTTTTGTTAGCCTTTTTATTTAAGAATTTCATGTTGTTAGTCTATTCTAATTAATTTGCTTAACAACTGTACATTCCCAAATCCTTCAACTCCACACCAACTTTGACTTCGTGTACTTCGAATATATAACTCACCAATACCTACTTTTTTTACATTCTGGAAAATTTCCAAAATATAATAAGAAAGCGCTTATGACTTGCGCAGGGGTGTGTGCGTATTAGAAACATCTCCACCGACTTTATTGAGAAAGACAGATGAAGAGAGAAATTAAAACTTGTGTGGAGAACTTCTAAGATTATGAAAACAATAATCATGAGTCACTCTTTTCACCTAAACTCAATAATTTTGTAATATAACAAGTCAAATAAAATTCTTTCTATTTTATTTCAATGCGCTTGATAGTTTACGTGATAAGAATAATTATTGAATGAACTCAAAATAAAGTTGTCACCCAGGTGCACTCTGGGCAATAACCCTGGGATATAATCCAATCCAATCCTATCCTCAGCTTGTAAACCAAGACATAATTGAAAGGATAAAAATGCAAGAAGGCAACAGCAGAGATCGACGTGTTGCCAATTCATTTAGCGTACACGAAATTTTGTGACCTATCTGGAAAAGGATAATGTGAATGAATGCAAATAAAGATGCAGGAAGGAGAAAGGGTTCATACTCCGTTATTCTCTTGATCCTACAGTTCATAATCTGACAACTAAAATCAACTTTTACCCCCCCCCCCCCCCGAGGGGTAAAGTTCATCGTATGCTACAACCCTCCAATGTCTTGCAGAGCAATGAAAGAACCCACTTTCAGCCAACCGGCCTTGATCTTAAAAGAGGAAAAGTACAAACCACACACATCATATACATGTATACATATACATATATATACATGGGAGACAATTTTTTCACCAAGAGTTTACTTGATAGTTTCTTCCAAGTTTTGACCAGCCCACTCAACTTCTATATTTTCATATCAACCAATACCTTGCCTCCATGATATACTAGTATTAGCCAACTATATACATAATAGAACATTATCCCAGAGCATCATCATCTCTATTTTCTGCCAGTAGCACCAATGCGTGGTTTGCCCTTGACCTCAGATTCCTGAATTTAATATGCATATAATTATCCGTACGATTGACAGATGATTAAAGAATATTCTTTTCGACAAGGATAGCCAAACCAAATACCTGAGGCAAGTGTAGGAAAATGTAGGTCTTTGATGTTGCAGGATTAGAATTTTCTGCCCCTTTACTCCAGTCATAGCAGACCTACAAGCAAAATGTCTATATATCATATCCAAATATTTGAACCATAAAACCATAGAAATACTTCTTCCATTGAGGTAATTGATAAGACCATCGAGAATACCTAGCATTTTCAATTCAGAATCCTTTTATCAGAAAATTATGAACCATATGAAGAATTTAATTGCCCGAGAGAAAGTAATATAATGCAGAAAATTTCCAATACAAGCCTATCATCACAAAGGTCAACAAACCTAACAAATTTTATATGCTGATGTATGACAATCCTCAAGAAAAAAAATCGTATTTTATAAATTGCACCTCAAGATTGCATTGCTTGGGAAGAAGAAACAACCATGCTTTTCGAAAGCAAAGTCCATTAACAAAATTGAGATATCCTCTCTGGCAAATTCTTTACAGATCTACGTCACTTGTTGCTTTCCTATTTAGTATCTTTATTAAAATTACATACAATTATATTTCATTTTAGCATCCTCTCACACGTAATGGTGTGCTGAAGTCAAGGATGTTTTTTAAGGTATTCTCACAACAAACTGAAACAAGGAAAAAAAAATTAAGCAGCAAAAGAAAGAAACAAATTTTTCATCACTTTTTAAGCGCATCACTTTTTAAGAAAGACACAAATTTATGCCAGAATAGTAAGGTGGACGAACATACTGAGTAAGCAAATATTGAACCATCACTATTGAAGCTACTGCAAGGAATAGGTTGGCTGCATCTCAGCATGGCCTGAAATAAGCTAAGTTTGCATTAGATAAGTATGTAATTATGCCGAAAATATAAATACAATATGTGTCTGTTAGGAGTTGAATGGAAGTGTTGATAAAGATGAAATAACCTTGAGCCTCTGTTTACTATCCTTATCCCAAAAATTGAAAGCACCATCCGAACCAGCAGTTGCAAATGTGTGGTGTATCTATACATAATAGAAAAATAATGTGAGAAATGATGACAGACTAGAGTGGATAAACTTTATCAGTGATTTCTGATTTCCATTGGGTTTAGAAGTATACAGTAATTCTGAATAAATGTGAACAAGCACCAATAAACATTTGTACTTGATACTCTACAAAATTTTAGGGAGACCAACAAAATATACATAGCAGTCAGCAAAACAGTACATTTGTGAAAAAGGAAAAAAGAAAAAAAGAATCGAGCATATCAGTGAATTCGATAACTAAAGGATATAGGAATCCATACACCACAACCATAGGCAAGCATTTGTCAAAGTCAAACATTTCAATGTCAATACACCAACACTTGAAATTATTAGTAATAAAAATAAAAATCACAATTGTTGATTCAACTACAACACGTTTACATCTAAATTCCATAAATAAATAAAATTCAAGAACCAAATATAGTGAAAAGTCAGAGTAGTAAAGCACAGGTGGAACATAAATCTTACAGGATGGAAGTTCAAAGAGTTGACTGAGTATATTTCATTCCCCTCTCTGTGGCATTTAAAAGTGAAGTTTTTACCCTGCTGACTATCATCCAAATGATGCACCCCAACTCTTCCTTCTATTGATCCGACCTACAGCAAGTATATTGTCAGTTTCAATCTAGACTTGCAGCTTACAAATTAATAATTACACTGAAATGAGAACCTGGAAGGAAATTATTCTTATAAATCAGAAATGGACAGAAAAGGGAAACAAACATAAGTTGGGTAAAAAAGTTAAAGAAAAGGGACAGAAAGTGGAGTATACTTCCCCTTCTTAGCTGGAATGTTTAAAGAGAAAGACAATTTTTTCTTTTCATGATTACCATCAGATTTATGTTTTCATGTAAAAATAGATAAATAAAACCAACCTAAAAATTATTACAGAAGATATTAAATAGGAACACACTGTTGGGAAACAGTTGAATATTACTTTTCTCGGACAAATAGATTACACATATACAGAAAGGAACAAATATCTAAAACTAGCAGGGAATTATGCATACCAAGAAACCTTGTTGATCAGGGAAGGCAGCAAGGCACCTCGTTTGATACTTTAAGGGTGAAACAATTCTCTTGAATTCAACCTGTAGAAAATGAACAGTGGTTAATAGTAGGAGACACTGGCAAAAACAGAGATGAAAGCAAAAGAGAATAGTCAATAGGATAAGTAATGTGTATAAATATACCATATATCAACACATTGATCTAATCATAATATAGAAAATGCACACAATGGAATATGAATTAAAGGGAAATGGCCAACAAACCAGTATTCAACTAAGCAATTGATAAAGAAAATTATCTGTGGAATAGGTATGATGCTCCCAAGCCCACCTGATGGCTAAAGCACCACTAATGTGCATTTGTTTTACATCCAAACACATTGAACGCAATTTATGGGTCTTGAATAACTGAGCTAATAGACATTTGATAGTTAACATTTGACACTATATATAATTAACTAATTGTACTTCAATGAAGCAAACAACAGAAGAGAATAAATAATTGTATCGTTGGAGCCAAATTGTGGGTATACATTTTTTAGAATGTTCATATATGAAAGAAATGTGATAAGTATTCAAGCAGCTGGGGAACCACCCTCAAAAGTTAACTATTAAGGGAGAAGAACCAAATACTTAAATACTCCACTAACATCCCATAGACATACTATTCTATGTGAGACTTAGGGACCCCATAATATGCAAGTTCCTAACATAGGAGACATCTCGTCAACTTTCACTTAGCCCTTTTCCAAACACTGACAACTAGGCCCTGGATACTAGTTGATAAGTATCTAAGCACTTGGGTAACCAACCGTCAAAAGCTAGCTATTAAGGGAGAAGAACCAAACACTTAAATATTCAACTGAGCATCCCATACACTCGGCATGGGACTTCTGCTCCCTATAATACCGAGGTTCCTATTGAAATGCTTGATGCTAGGGTGGAAGTTCTTGAAATAAACATCTCTTCAATGTTCTAATAAGCAATTGCTAAAGTTCAGTTAAATGAAAGATAAGTGATGATTTACTGATGCCTGCCAGGTCAAATTATTAAATGTGAGACTTGAGTAACTGACTCCCCAGTGGAAGTACTTGGGAGTAATCTTCTATTAATAGGTTGCCTTAATTTCTCCCAGTATGATTGCAAATATGAGATGTCTGATTAATCCATGAACCAAATAAGTTTCCTGGATGTTATTTATATTAAATCTTATGATTATTTTCATCATTCCAAAAAAAAAAATTGTAAATCAAAATCATACTTATATATTCAAATGGATATAGTTTTTAATTTTAATTCACTTTAGGTTAGTGGTTTGAGGATGCCTATTACTTATCAGGAAAACTCATTCCTTCCTTTTTACTATTTGAACTTCTGGGTCCAAACAATCATTGGGAATTCGTGTGAGAATACATTGAACTTCTGGACCAGAAATTGGGATGCCCCTTCTCTTTATCCTAGATGAGTTATGATCCTCATGTAACTCCTATTTGCTTCTCTTTATCCTAAATAAAGTTCATATTTTTACTGTCCAATTAAGCGAGAAAAAGAAAAACCCCTTTTTATTTTGAAATTTTGCGATAAAACAGTCATGATATATATAAGTGAATACACAACTGAAAGGTAACACTAATAATGGAGAGTATAAGTAAGTTGAGATTAACTAAATTAGAATAAAAGTTTTACCTGAGGATTTTGCAAGTTGTAAACAATAAGATTTCTATCAGCAGTGCCAACGACCATCAGAGGATGTCTCACTGTCATAGCATAGCAGCGCTCTGGAAGTTGCTGTGTGTGCACTGGATTTGACTGCCTTGTATCCCAGTATCTAAAGCATTCATAAAGGGTCATGTCCATGGAGAAGACAGACGCATCAGATCAAGCAAAATTGCAGGCGTCATCCCATACTTAATCAGCAGCACTACAAAATACTAGAATATAATGTGCAATGGCATGTTATATAAAGATAATAGACAACAGATGATGTGTGTGACAAAAGCCAGCCTGAAGAGCTGATTGGACTGTTACATAAACAAGGAAGAAGAGATTTCACTGTAATGGTCATCAGTGGAAATATTCTGGCAAGGAAAATATATGCAAAAAGAAGTAAAACTCCTCCAAATTAGTCAAAAGTAGCATTCAGAAGCTTCGAGCCACAAAAGAACTTATGGGAACCATAATAATTGAAATTGAAATTGAAATTTGAAACTAAGGTTAGTGTGTGATATAGCCAAGGAACTCAGAAGTGGAAATACTGGCAATAGTGATCACAAAGGAAGAGTATGGATAAGGGGAAAAAAATAGAAAATACAGATTCTGAATAATATTTCCTTTCTGGTAAAATGACAAGATGCATTTGACACAAAAGACCAAACACTGATCGCTAAATTATAAATTCAAATCAAATAAGATGCTCTAAAATATTCTTGATGTAAATGAGATATTTTTCATATATTCTAATTTCTAAAGTTATAATTTAAAAACAAATTGCTGTAAAGGCAGCAAATGCTAGTGCATACTTCAGAGTCCTGTCCCAGCTTCCTGTGACTAAAAGGTTGATTTCAGGAATCCAAGCAACTTCTTTGATGGGTGCATCATGCATGGCAACAGTCATTGCTTGGCCTCCGGATAATAGAGGCCACATCTTCACTTGCTTATCACATCCACCAGAGAATACAGTTGTGCCATCATCTTTCCATGTAGAGCACAAAACCTATGCAAAGAAATAAACATGATGAGTTTATGATTTCATTGACTTCAAACTATTTCTGTTTCAGGAAAAGGCAGAGCATCAAGATCGTGAAAACCAATAATCTAAGATTTAATAGGGTTAAATATGTTCTTAGCCCTTATAAAAAAAGTCTTCTACTTTTGGTTCCTCGTCTAAGGAAATGCGCCATTGTTCTTGTCCTTAACTAAAATCATGTCTTTCTGCTCCAGTTCTAATTGAATTCCTAGTTACTCTATTTTTGGTTCTTGTCGTTCCCTAAAAAACATTAAATTTAACCAATTAACTTATCAGCCTAATCAACTCAAAGGTCAATGAATATAATGTTCATATCTGGATCAAGTCGTCCACCTGCATAAAACTAGGGTACAAAGAGGCAAAGAGCACTGATACTAAAATGTCCAACTCCAAAATCCCCTCTTGAGGCTCAAACACATGTATAACATACATATGAATATTGTAAGAGTAATGCAACACGGTACCTTAGGGCAGTGGATAATAAATAAAAATGGGAAGTTTTTATTAAAAATTATTATTAATGCACTCCCCCTATGATTTCAAATGCAACCACAATGTGATTCCACAAGCTTCTACTAATTGACTCCTTAACCAGTGCCCGAGGGGTGATTTGCAAGAACCTTACCTTAATATGCAAAATAAGTAACCATACAAGGCCAGTTAAACGTGAGGAACCACATGACAACAGTCACATATCATCGCCAAACACACGCAGCAATGTGCTTCATTTTAAGCATACGGAAATCATTGTCAACCCTCTATGTGCTAATGTCTTTGCCACCAAAACACCCTGATTCTTATACCCTAAATATGACCATCTCGTAGTCCTATTCATGAATCCCAAATTAACCTTTCACATGTCCGAGAACAGTGATTCAAGAAAACTAAATATATACATACATGCATACACACACATAAATAGTAATAAGAAAATAATGATAAGGTGATAAAATAAAACTAAAATAGCTTACTGGATGATCGTGCGTTATAGAAGCCTTGGGAACAGTGGCTACATTTACTCCATTCCGTGCTACCTCCCAGCAACGAACCTGCGAATGTTGCTCGTAAGCCTCTCCAAGTGAAATGTTTCAAGAATGAAGCTTAAAAGAGAGGGAAATGAAAGAGAAAGAAAGACCTGATTGTCCCAGGAAGTGGCGACGAGGAAGTTGGCTTTGGGACTGAAACTGAGACTGGAGACGGAATCAGTGGGAGGCTGATTCACCTGCAAAATTCACCAAGAAACCATGAAAACTCGCACAGCGTACAATACAACAAACTGCTTGTCGTAGACGGGAGGTGACTTCTAGGTACCTCGAAAGACTTGTTAGGGTTCGGATTATTGTTGCTCAGGAAATTCGACATTTGCAAATTTTCTCGCTGAATTTTCTCTCAGAATTTTGCAGAGAGGGAGAGAGTGAGAGAGACGGTGTTCGTAGTTTGGACTTTGGAGGGAGTTAGTTTGGGCCTTGGCTGGGTGGGTGGGTGGGTTGAGACAGAAAAACGTGAAGAATGGGTTTTGCGTGGGTGAGGGCAGGCGTAGGAATTAAGTACTAAGACCTAGCGTTATTACCACGCTTAATTTTGGGCTCTTACTAACTACAATTGATCTGTTTTTCAAGGGCCTAATATATATCTTCGCGATCGTTAAGTTTAGAAATGAATCTGGTGTAGACTATAAAGGATTTTACTATCAGTAATATTAAAGGTTTAATATTGAAATTTTATGATCTAATTAATAATTACGTTATGAGAGGATAGGATTGTTTGTTAATTATAACTATATTATTCTATGATAACCAATGACAGATTTAAGAACTTGGGGCAATTTAATTTTTAAATAATATAAATTAATAATAATTTTATCAAGTTAAATCGCATTCATTTTTAATTATATATAGGTCTATTATAAAATAACTATCACCAAATTCAAATATATAAGATTAAAGACGCTGTTATTGATTCTATTTAATAACTAGTTGTTTTATAAATATTTTTACTTGTGGGATAAAATTCGTAAACACATATTTTTGAAGATCATAACTACTATTTAAAAATAAATAAAATTATTTATAAATTATATGGCAGCATATTAGGATTATTGAATACGTCAAAATGAATATGATTTAATTAACTTATTTTGGTCCCAGACTCAAAATCTTCTTTCTCCATAGTTGTAGACTTACGCACGAGTCAGTATTGATTGCTTTTATATATATAATTGCTAGACTCGAGTGAAATTTCTATTTCTAAGTGCATTTCACTAGTTATTTAAGCTATAATATATATATATATATATATATATATATATATATATATATATATATATACTTTAAGTTTTTTAGTTAATTATAATTGCTTTGTCATTTCTGTTTAAAAGTCAAATATTTCATGAAGAAAATTATAAATTAATTAATAGTGCCACAAATAAATATAAATCAGTCTGTTTGTCAAAAGTTAAGCGTGAATATATATATGAATGATCCGACCAATTTATTCTTTAAAAATTCTGATAAAATTTTTAAAATAAAAATGTATAAGAAACTTTGAATAATTTGTTAAATAAAGGGATTCACTAGATTATTAAGTAAAGTTATTTGTTCAAAGTACGACTTTACACCAAATTAGTTTTTTTTTTCTTTAGAAAATAATATATATATTTTTAAATATATACTATTGGCAACTTTGAAAAAGTCCCAAGACAGTTAAAAAAAACTTCTTTCTACATATGATGTTTTAAATGTATATATATATATATATATATATATATATATATATATATATATATATATATATATATATATGTATATATATATATATATATATATATATATATATATAGTGTGTGTGTGTGTGTGTGTGTGTGATTATTACTATATTATTACTAACATAAAATAAAACAGCAATAATATTACATCAATACTTTATATATATCACTATATTATTACTAACATAAAATGTCAAACAATTTTATAGATAATTTAGGTGATTTTATGGAAAGTCAAGTAGGTTTGGAAGAATAATATATATATATAATTTTTTTAAAGGACAAAAACTAAACCAAACCTACACTAAGTCAAGTCAAGAACGTCTCTTTTTGTTTATTTTGTGTTTTTTTTTTTTCTCGAGACAAGGTGTCAGAATGAATATATATTCCATTGGGATTATTTCTTTGTGCGTACGTAGGAATTAAGAAGCCTCAGCCTTGTCCTTTTTGGTGAATTATTGTAATGCACTACTAGAAAATATACTTTCTAACGTCGCTGTGTAACGTCGGTTACATCTTAGCCGACGTTGAACATGCTTTCAACGTCGGTTGGTCAACAACCGACGTCGAAAGTCGAATTTTTAACATATTCTACGTCGTTTTAGCATGCACGACGTGGAAAGTAGGCTTTCGACGTCGGTTATGCCCTCACCCGACGTTGAAAACCCTTCTAACTCATTATGACCGATCGAATACAAATATGACCGATCGAATCAAATGTGATCGATCAGATTTTAATTATGAGCGATCATAATTTTTTCAATCGATTAGAAACATGTTTCAATCGATTAAAATCTCTTAAAGGGTCGGATGATCGATCAGAATCCAGTTATGACCGATCAGAACTATTTTAATCGATTAAATCTCGTTTCAATCGATTAAAACATATGACTGGAGATAAATCGAGTTTCAACGTCGGGTGTGGTTATAACCGACGTCGAAACCCCGTTTTCCCATTTGAATAGGCTACCATTTTTGTATCTCCCCTTACTCTCCAGCATCGCGCCCACTCCCCTTACTCTCCAGCATCGCGGCCACCACCTACCACCGTCATTTGGACTCTCCGGACGCCCTCCCTCACGTCGCCACCGCGCACCGCGTGACACCCCCGCCGCAGCACCTCCACCCCACTGCAGCTTCCACCCCACCGCGACGCTAGTCGCCCACCGCGACGCTAGTCGCCCACCCTCCACCCCCATCGCAGCCTCCACCCACATTGCATTGTCCGCTCACCACGACCTCGACCCTAACGTCGCATTGCATCCTCCACCTCCACCCTGCAGGTGCACGCTGCTCGTTTCTCGTGGTGCGAACCTTCATCGCCGCCTTAAACCACAGTGTACGATGTTGTTGCACTTATATTTGTTGGGCAAAGTCATACAATTTTACTTACTACATTTCATAGGTAGAGATTGTTAGTCATTTGTCGTTAACTCGTTGATTCAATTCTTAGTCATATTATAGTTTTTTTCAATGTATTGATGATGTGTACAATTATACTTGAACTCGCTTGAATATGCCCGTGGGGCTTTTTATTGTCAGGTTTCATCGTGTCATTTAAAATTGTTGCCAAAAAACAAAGGAAACTCTACGGATTTTTGTTAGAAATTAATCATGAAGTGTGAATTTGAAAACTACATATAACAATGTAGTTATATAAGTGATGGTAGTAACAATGAAAACTCTATAATTTCAATTTATACAAATTTGGTTTTGACCAAAAAATAGACGAAATTCTGTTGAAATTTCGTTACAAATTAATCTACTTTGGTATAGATTTCATTAGAGATAACGATTATTAGTATTAATCGTTTTATGGGTTTCTCATTTGTAGACTCCAATTCCAAAATGGATCGAAGTTGGGTAAATGCAAGTCGTATTTCACAAGAGTATGAGAATGAAGTTGAAGAATTTTTGCGATTTGCCAAACACAATGGCACCAAGGTTAATGGAAAATTGTATTGTCCATGCGTTAACTGCGTTAATGGGAGAGTACACACACTAGAGACAATACGGGAACATCTTTTATGTGATGGGATAATGAAGAATTATATCCTATGGACATGGCATGGTGAAGTGATTGATACACCAATTGATACACCATATGACAATGGAAGATCGAATAGAAGACATGATTCGTGATGTAGGTCAAGAGAATTTTCTGCAAGCACATGCTGCTGTCTATGATAAATTGAAGATAAATTCAGAGATACCTTTGTATGCTGGATGTACAACATTCACGCGATTGTCACCGTATTGAGATTGGTCAATTTGAAGGCCAAATTTGGTTGGAGTGATAAAAGTTTCACTGAGTTACTAGAAGTTTTGAAAGATATGCTCCCAAGCGATAACACCTTGCCCGATCGTATGTATGAAGCCAAAAAATACTTTGTCCAATGGGTTTACGAGTATAAAAAGATACATGTTTGCCCTAATGATTGTGTATTATATAGAAAAGAGTTTGAAAGCCTACATGAGTGTCCAAGATGTGGTGTATCGCGTTACAAATTGAAAGACAAGGATGATAATAGCGAATGTATTGATAGAAAGAGACCTCCTGCAAAAGTTATATGGTATCTTCCAATTATTCCAAGATTGAAGCGATTGTTTGCCAATGGAGAAGATGCCAAGAATATGATATGGCATTCAACTGCACAAAAACGTGATGGATTGCTTCGTCATCCGGCCGATTCTCCACAGTGGAAGAAAATTGATCGCCTATTTCCAAGTTTTGGCAGATGATGCAAGAAATGTTAGACTTGGACTAGCCACAGACGGCATGAATCCTTTTGGTAACTTAACCAAGTAATCACGACTCATGGCCAGTTCTTTTAGTGATTTACAACCTTCCACAATGGTTGATTTTCAAGCGCAAGTACGTGATGTTATCCATCATGATTGCAGGTCCAAGACAGTACGGTAATGACATAGATGTTTATCTAAGTCCGTTAATAGATGACTTAAGGCTATTGTGGGAGGAAGGAGTGGATGTGTTTGATGCATATCAACAGCAGAGCTTCAAGTTACATGCAATGTTATTTTGTACTATCAATGACTTCCCAAAGATATGGAAACTTGAGTGGGTATAGTGTCAAGGGTCATCATGCTTGTCCTATTTGTGAGGAAGATACAAGTTTTCTACAATTGAAGCATGGAAAAAGATCGTGTATAATAGGCACAGTAAAATTTCTTCCACATAACCACCCATATCGAAGATTGAAGAAAGCTTTTAATGGTCAGCAGGAAGATAAAATTGTCAAACAACCTTTAACCGGTGAACAAGTTTATGAACGGGTTAGAAACATTAATGTTGTCTTTGGAAAGACTAAAAAATAGTCGTCCGATAAAAGGTTGTGGAAAAAGAGATCAATTTTCTTTAACCTTCCATATTGGAGTCATCTAGATGTGAGACATTGCATTGATTTTATGCATGTGGAGAAGAACGTATTTGATAGTCTCATTGGCACACTATTGAACATTAAAGGAAAAACAAAGGATAGAGTCAAAGCTCGTCAAGATCTATGTGAATTGGGAATACGTCCAGAATTACATCCAAGACCTGAAGGCAAGAGAACATATTTACCACCAGACTTGTCAC